AGGGAGATGGCTCAGTAAAATAAGCCCTTCCTGGCAAGTGCAAGGCCCTGAGGGTTCAATCCCCAGTTCCACCAAAAAAAAAAAAAAAAAAAAAAGGAATATTCTAGGCAGTCAGGCAGGGCCAGGCCCTCAAGGATCCAAGATGGAAGACAAGGTAACCTTGCAACTTGGAAGAGACAGATACTCCTGTATGGGTCAGACTTCAGACAAAAGAAGAAACATACAGCTACATACTTCCCTAGGGATGGGCATCAGGGATTGATATTCTAAATGGGTATCAATCACCTTGAAAGAGCTCAAATGAGTCACTAGCCCAACCCCCAACAGGAAGAAACCCTGTCCCATATTCAGGCCCACTTGCTATGTGACTCACTTCCCCATTTGGTACTGGGTATAATCAATTTTACCTGAGCAAAGGTGGAGAAGACATGGGAACTCACTTAGGTGGGCATGAGGTAGGACAAAACCATGGCCAGCCAATGAGATTACAAGCACCACTGCTCAGGTAAAATTGATTAAATCCAGTACCAAATGAGGAAGTGAGTCACATAGCTAGTGGGCCTCAATATGGGACAGGGTTTCTTCCTGTTGGGGGTTGGACTCATTTGAGCTCTTTCAAGGTGATTGATACCCATTTAGAATATATCCATCCCAGATGCCCATCCCTAGGGTAGTATGTAGCTGTGTTTCCTCTGTTGTCTTGGTCTTGAGGCATGGCCCATACGGGAGTGTCTGTCTCTTCTAAGCTGCAAAGTCACCTTGTCTTCCATCTTGTCTCCTTGAGGGCCTGGTCCTGTCTGACAGTCTATAATATTTCAGCTGCCTACAACACATTGAGCACTCACAAGGCTCCCAGACTACTATTTGAATGACAAAGGTCACATCTTGCTCCAGGCTTACCAACTCAACTACCTGTTTAGAAATGAGGAAGAAATTTTGCCCAGAGAAGCACATGAGTGAGTTCATGGGATACATAAGTTTGCAAACATTGTATCGGACTATGCCTGCTACATGCTGATAATCTGACTTCCAAATTGAACAAGATAGCATGAACCTCTTTGCACATTCTGTTTTAACATTTTTAAAAACATATTTTTTTATTTCAAGCAGTTTTAGGTTTGTGGCAAAACTGAGCAGAAGGCACCAAGGATTTTGTGCTACCAACATCCCCCACTACATCTGTTACAAAGCATGAACCTATCTGACACCGTAATCCTCACCGAAGGCCACAGCTGACACCAGAGTTAACTGGGGTTACTGCACCCTGCGTGGGTTTGGATGAATGAATACTGACACTCATCTACCAATAGAGTACCTCACAGGCAGTTTCACTGACCTAAACTAAGGGTCCTTTGTTCCACCTACTCATCCTTCCCTCCCTCCAGCCCTGACATCATTTTCAGCGCGCACACAAATACTCCATGTTAATGATGAGGGAGTTTAAATATACTCAAGTTTCTAAATAATGAGCTTGTAGATTATTTCAGATTCTTTGTGATTACAAGCCATGCTCTGGTGACACCCCAACAGCCTGCTATTTGTATATGAGTGGGATTATTTCCTGACAGGACATTCTGAGGGCTAGAATTTCTGACCCACAAGGTATGCACAGTTGGATGTGTTTTACATCTTAAAAGGATTTAGCTGGGTGAAGCAGCGCATGCCTGTAATCCCAGCACTCGGGCCCCTGAGGTCGGCGGATCAACCTTCAAACTTCATAGTGAGTTCAAGGCAAGCCTGGACTACACAGCAAGGCCTTGGCTCAAAAAACTAAACCAAAACTTTTATTTAACCATTTTTGGCTCCATGGCTGCCCTAGATCAGCTATCTTCTCACACTCTAAGAGACAATGAATTGCAAATAAACCATCTAACTAGACAAGAGAATGGAAATACTTGGATTACTTGTGAGACTGAACACTTATGTATTACCATTTAGCATATATATAGCATTGGCATACTTTTGTGATTTCTCATTTTTTGGGTGTTTCCCATTTTTTCCATGGGATCGTGCTAAGGTGTGGATATATTTTAAGCTTGTCTCCCGATAAGTAGGGGTTAGAGACTTGTGCAGCTAGCAGGGGAGCTGGTGGCCTTGCTTTGAGCCAGTAAGCGAAGTACGGAAGGCGTTTCAGAAACCTTGGAGGCCGGGCTTCCCAGCAAAGGCCCAGACGTCTAGAAGGCAAATTAGTTTCTGGTCCTGATACCCAGGGCATGCCCACAGTGTATTCTCCGCTCCCAGCCACACACACACACATGCTGACCCAGGAAAGGCTCTCCGACAGGTCCTGGTGCTGTCTAGGCAGTTCTGGGTTTTGCAGGTAAGCAGAATCATGAGCTGGGAGATCATGGCAATTTCCACCAAGACTTCAAAAGAAAGCATAGGCAGCGACTGCAGTCAGCTGGGCTATCTCTACAGTGCGAAAATGTCGGCAGCAGTCATGGAGTGCTCTGCAGCAGGGCCACAGTGTGCAATGCCAGCCTGGCCAGGCCATGGCAGCAGCATGTGGAGCCCTGCAGGAAGAGCAGCTATGCGTCCTGTAGGCAGCGCAACTGCAGGGTGCGCTGAGCCTGCCTAAAACTTTGGGCTCACCCAGCCACCGTGTGCACAGGGGGCTTGGCTGGATCTTTAGGATTCAACATCTGCCCTGCCTGGTTTTAGTCTTGTTTGGGGGAAGTTGTTCCCTTTTGCTTTCCCATTTCTCCCTTTGGAACAGGGATGTTATCTTGTTTCTGTCCCAATATTGTATTTATATATCCTTTTGGTTTTGTTTTTTTGAGCCAGGAGACCCACTATGTAGTTCATGCTGGCCTGAAACTTTAAGTGCTAGTCCTGCCTCGAATGTCAGGAGCTCTGGGATCACAGGCGTGTGTCACCATGCCCAGCCCCACCGTTGTATTTTTTAAATGGAGGACTGCTTAGTGTGCTGGTGCACACCTGAGACCCCAGAGCTCTGTGAGGCTGGGGCAAGAGGGTCACTGTGAGTTTCTTTATAATTACACAGCCTCAAGTATTTTGTCGCAGTAATGGAAAAGTAATATAAATCTATTAATCATGTGTTTTATGCAAACACTAACATGTTTTGTTTCTGTCTTTTTGGGAAAGTGTCTTGCTATGCAGGTTGGCCTTGAGCTCACTTTGTAGCCCAGGCTGGTCTCTAACTCACATTGATCCTCCTGCCTCAGCCTCCCAAGTGTTGGGATTACAGGCAAATCCTGGGATTATACAGGGGAGTGCTGGGATTACAGGCATGTGTCACCACACCCAGTTTTCAACATGTATTCTATATTAAAAGATAAATGGATTTATCAAGTAATAGGGTTCAAATGTCAAAAATAAATTGAGACCACAGAGTGTAGAGGTACTTCAAGGAATTAAGGCCTAATGAACTACTTGCTAGTATTTCTGTCATTTCTGAGTATTACTTTCAATGTATTACAGAACTAGGAAAATCAACAGAGCTCCTAACAACCTAGAGATAAAATACAGACTCTCACTGGGGATGGTAGCACACACCCTAAAATACCAGCCATTGAGGTTGAAGCAGGAAGATCACTGCTAATTCAAGGCCAGTTTGAAGTAAGATTGCAGTTCAAAAACAAAAGGTTACCCCCAACCTCGCCAGAAAAAAAAAAAAAAAAATCCAGCAATCTCAGGGGAAAAAAATCAGAATGTTACAAAATAAAGATTTTTCTACCCTTTGAAAGATATTGGGGCTGGAGAGATGGCTCAGTGGTCTAAGGCACCTACTTAGAACAAGCTTGGCAAAGCATCAGGGACCACGGTTCAATCCCCCAGCACCACATGCCAGCCAGCCCCGCCCCCTGGTGGGCTGAGCTGGCCACACACACACACCACACTCTCTCTCTCTCTCTCTCTCTCAAATAAATAAAAAATAAAAAAAAAAAAAAAAAAAAAAAGATATTATATGCTATAGACATGATTAAAAAAAGAGAACCTGCAAGCACAGAAGCACTCGCCATCTCACCTGTATGTTGTCGAACTTGAGGCCTGGCATGGTGAGGTTGTCCTTGTCTATGAACACAGTGCTGTACTGCTGGGTCGCCACTGAGATCAGGACCTCTCGGGTGCTCTGGCTGGGAAGCCAGGCGTCGTTCCTCCGGTCCATTTCGCTCATGCTCAAGGCTGTGGCAAAAGGGTCATCGCTTCCTGCAAACACTGCCTGGATCTGTGAAAATGGCTTTGGAGACTCCGGGATTTCCACGGATGCTGTAGAAATCCCCAATTCTGATCTTTCTGTTCCTGCAGAGTAAGTCGGGTTGGCAGAATCAGATGGCATTTCTCCCACTGGCGTAGGGTGAGAGGACAACTCTCCTGGAGCAGGGGTGCCTGCGTTGGGATTACTGACGGAAATGAAAGTAGAAGTGGTGAAGGAATCAAAGAAGTCAGAGGCCAGTGAATTAGTGCTGATTGTATCTCCAAAAAATTTACTCAGGCTGGGGCTGGGCTGGACCACCTGAGGAGGGGTCTTCGCGGATGTCTCACTTGCGCTACTGAAACTTGGTGACTTCACCATCTGAGACTCAAAGCCATCCTGCAAGAACAAGTGCGGCTGGGAGGGAGCTGGATTTGCCTGGCTGAAGATGGTGCACACGGGCACGGGCTCATCTTTGGAGGAGGACTGTCCGGAAGACACATCAGACACATGCTCTTCCGGGTGGGTTTTCTCATCCATGGGCACCAAGTCCCCTGCACCAGCATTGTCAAAGGCAGGCACACCCTTTGCTTCTTCCTGGGTGGAGTCTTCTTTCAAAGATGCTCGGCTGTCAGGTGTCATGTCGGACACGTCCTGGGGAGTGTCGTCTCCATCAGTTTCACTGTCACGACTCAAAAGGTCCATTGTGTCCTTACCTGTGACATGGTCCAGGCTGTGATCAGGGGTGCCTCCTAGGGGTTCCACGACATCCTGCAAGCAGCCAAGCTCACCCCCGTCGTCTTCACTGTTATTGGGAGAGTCTGATATAAGCACACTCTCCATCATGTGCTCATTAAGCTTATCCACAAAGTTGTTGGAATCTTCTGAGATGGTCTCATTCTCTTCAGACCCAAACTCATCTCCACCAAGATCAATGGTTTCTTCTCGATATAAAAGCTGGCCCTCCTCCTCCTCCTGCGGAAGCTGCCGTGTCACGCTCTCAGCTCCTGCCTGGGCAGAGGGAGATGCCTCAGGCACCACCTGCTCACTACCTTTCCCATTCTCCATGTTGGCCTGAAACAGACAATCACAGACCCCTCTTATCAGCAGTCTGCCCAGAGTTAAGCTAGTTTATCTTGCTTTTGAATTAAAAGAATTGTTGCCAGGCTGGGTAGTGCACACGTTTATCACCCCAGCACTTGGGAGGTTGAGGTGGAGGATCTTAAAAAATTTAAAGAATTTTTTTATTGCTTAGATATAAAAATGGTTCAAAATCTACAAATCTCCGTTTTCTGCTTTTATTTTAAACTGTGGCAAAATACACAAAATGTAACATCTTACCCATTTTTTGAAAAATGTATTTCATGGGGCTGGTGAGATGGCTCAGTGGTCTAAAGCACCTACTTAGAACAAGCTTAGCAAAGCACAGGGACCACGGTTCAATCCCCCAGCACCACATGCCAG